CTTCCGCGCATCGTAGTTGATGGGCTTGCACACATTGCGGCGCACGGTGTACACCCCTTTCTGCAACTTTTTGTACAGGCCTTGCGCGGCTTCCACCCATGCCTGATCGGGAGTTTCCTTCAGCTCGGCCCGCTTGCCTTTGAGCCGACGCCACAGGTCGGAGTGCCACACCGAATGCCACTTCATCGTGATGCGGCGCACCCCGGGCACTAGATCCCAGGAGTTGCGGATGGAGCTCTCCACACGCCGGGCCAGCGATTGCATGTATGCAAAGGGCGTGAGCACGGCAGCCTCACTGCCCCTGCGGTCCCGCGACTTGGACGGGAAATCCGGACCGCCCACTGGCGCGGGCAGGCTGAAAGGGTACGCCCAGCTGACGAACCGATTTTGCCACTGATCCCAAAAGCTTTGCCCGGTTTGCACCTTCACGTGCGCGGTGAGCTTGGCTAGCTGCACAATTTCTTGCACGTCTACGTCGTGCACCTGGGAGCTAGTGTAGTCGGACGACAACACGTGCGGCCGCACTATGCCAGCAAAGGCCTCGCCGTTGACTTCATGCACGCTGGCCGCTTCAGGTGTGGCATGTTTTTTCTGCCCTCCGCCGCTTTGGTCGGCTTCCTCCGGCGCCATCGAGGCGGCCTCCATGGTCACCGGCGACACTTCGTCTTTGCCGTACCTGCTGAACACTCGCTGCTTCAAGCTTTCTTTGAGTGCGGCTTTGTCTGCCCATGCCTCACACATGGGATGTCCGCTGTCGATCAGGTGCTCCAACAACCTCACGACGATCCACGGGCGCAGCTTTGCACCAGCCACCCACTCCACGATCTCGGCGTGCCGCATGCCCTTGATTGTCAACTTCATCATGGTGTTGAGCACCGGGACTGCGTGCGGCAGCTGATGCAGCACAGCCTCCGCCCCCAAGCGGTGGAGACTGCCGTAGATCTCCTCCCAAGGCATGCTGAAGGAGCTAACATTGCCTCGCACGGCCACGCGGAAGTCGCTGCGATGCAGCTCCTCCTCCATCAGGTGCCCGCGATCTTCCTCTATATAGAAACTCACCACGGACGTCCACACGGGACATGCTGCCGCGGCCTCAATCCACCGCACCTTTTCTTGATATAAGAAATTCGGGGGATACCCGTACCAGTTGTCATTGGCAAGAGCTTGCGGGACTTGCGGGCACGTGCTCTGCCGCAACCGGCTCCAGCATGTCCGGCACAGTGGCAGCTTGCACTCAGCGCACAGTTGCTCTTGCGTGGCTGGACACGCGGCACACACGCGGTCTTCTGGGCAGCACAGAATTCGCTGCCCCTCAAACAGATCGGGCGGCAGCGACAGCTGCCAATCCTGCTCCGGAAGCCGATCTCTCACGGCCGCGTGCTCGCCGTACTTGCGAATGTACTCTGTCAAGCTCCAGTTCGCGGCAAAGCTCTCGGCTGACACGGTTGTGAACAGCTCGCGCACTGACACGTATCCTACGTTGCCATTAGGACCTCCAGGCTGCACTGCCGCGCAACAGGCGCACACCAAGGCCACGCAGTGCTCCTCGCGCCTCTCCTGTCGGAGACGGCGTAGCGTGCGCCGATCCACACTCCAGCCCACTGCAGGCACGGATGCCTCCTCTCGGCAAACAAGGGCTCGCATGTACCGGCTCTTGGCCTGCCACCACTCCTGCCCTGGCTGGCCGGCACACAGGCTGTCCCAGTGGCACGCGGCCAAGTGAGCCCAGAGACACGTGTTCGCCTTGCCGCAGCAGGTGCCACTCAGGCGAGTCCAGTGTAAGTCTGGCACCACCCACGCTCCAGCGTGCCCCGAGGCCTCTTGACACGGCTGCATCTCGCTGCACCAAGCGCAGCCTGCAAACGCGCAATGCACGGCGGGGTAGACTATTCCTGAGGCAGGCGCGGACATGCTGGCACTCCAGGCCGGGAGCGGCGGCGGCAGCAGCGGCGTCGGCCGCAGCAGGGATGCCACTTGCTCGGCAAGGTGGACGTCTGTGTCTTCCAGGGTGGTCCACGTCTTGCTGGCTTCCACCGCCACCGGGCCAAGCTCTTCAGCTTCGTCGCTGGCATCCTGCGAGTCCCACGACTGCACACTATCGGTTTCCATCTCTATTTTGTCAGAGTTTTTGTCTGACAAGGGCACGTCCCTGTTGGTTTCTGGCTCGGACCAGACGTCCGCCTCCGCTTCAGGAATTGGAGCATGGATGCGCTCGGGCCGCCTTGGCACACTATCGGTTTCCATGTCTATTTTGTCAGAGTTTTTGTCTGACAAGACCACGTCACTGTTGGTTTCTGGCTCGGACCAGACGTCCGCCTCCGCTTCAGGAATTGGAGCATGGATGCGCTCGGGCCGCCTTAGCATGCCTAGCACTTCCCACATGGCTTCACTGCCGCCTTCGGCCCACCGCCTCACCCAAGGTGTCCGCGCAAACGGCTGCGGAGACACGGCATCGGTCCCGAGCAGATCATAGTGCCCCACGTTGCCGATCTCTCGGTGCAGCAGCTGCAGCACGGTCGGGAGCCGAGCCACTGCCGTCCGGCATTCTTCGTCCGTGACACGAGTCTGAGTTCGTGCCCAGTAGTTCGCGTCAGGGACGCCGCTCCATACTATAGCATCGAAGTCGAACTGCTGGGTGAGCGCCCACAATTCTGCGCTGGTCCCATGATGGAAGGAGTCCAGACCGTTAGGCTGCTCCACCACAGCCAGCACCTTACTCCACAGCACCAGCTTGGCGTCTGGAACCTGTGCCTCCACGCCACCGCGCCGTCGAACGAAGTCTCGGTGTCGCTCCAACTCCGCCTCCGTTTCTGGCACGCAAGCTGCTTCAGTTGCTGCGGCATCTGGTCCAGCCAGCGCCGCCCACAGCCACTCTAGCGCCTGCAAGTAGATCTCCGCTGCAGCACGCAGACACCAGCGCGGCCTAGCACCTTCTCCAGGCCTGGCCCCGTACCTTGCCACCGCATGGAAGAGGCACCAGCCATCTCCAGGAACTGCCACGACTACACCCCCGGCTCTGTGCCCAGCCCCACTTGCCATGCACTGCTAAATCACTTACCAGCGCCCCATGGGCAACTGTCACTAGTGTGCAGCTCCTTGTCCGCCCCGCGGGCAACTTTCCCCTTCTTCCGGCGCTAGACCGTGCGTGATGCTTGACTCATGTGGCTGAAGCCTGTTGGCGTGTTTCGGGCGCGGCCCCAGCTGTCTAACAGTTTGGACAAGTCTGAGCTGCGAGCTGCAATTGCTGCGAGAGAAGCACCGCAAGTCGGCCCTGCCTTTGTGAGTAATAATGCGCAACATGTGACATTCCCAAGGTGTTTTCATATTCTTTTTTTCGTGTCTTACAGTGAAAGAGTCGCGCCACGTTCAGGTGAAACCAGACTATTGAAACAACCCTCAACGACAGGTGTGTTTGCGGCGCTTTGCTTGGCTGCAACGGTTCGAGGGTTGGCTTGCCCGCAGAGCTGGTTTCCAACTACCTGGCGCCAAGCCAAGGGCTTGTTACTGAAGTGGACCTTGCTTCCTACTGTTGCTTTTTTTGACCCTTGTCAATAGCCTGCAAGGCTTTGCGAGAAAAAAAGTTCCATCGCAGCTAGTGCGACGAATCTGTTGTGTGATTGCTGCTAGTCCGACGTGGCTGTTGCGTGACGCATGTTGCTGCTTGAGCGACTAACGTTTTCAGAAGCTGCTGTGTGACACATGTTGCTGCTGATGCGACGAATGTTTTTGAAAGCTGCTGCGCGAGAAATGTTGCTGCTTCTGCGGCGAACGTCATCAAGAGCTGCCGCGTGAAACATGTTGCTGCAAGCACGATGAACATTATTGGTGGCTGCTATGTGAAACATGCTGCTGCTTGTGCAACGAACATTTTCAGGTGCTCCCTTGGCTTCACTCGGCCTCCCTTAAAACTGCCAAACTGCGCTTGCGAAATGCCTCGCGACGCTGTGCAGCGCGCGGTCAACTGATGCGGGGTGATCAATCTGCTTGTGCTGTCTGGCGTCCCTTAGCTTCACTCGGCTTCCCTTACAACTGCCAAACTGCTCTTGCAACATGCATGGCGACACTGCTGGCAGCTTGTGGAAGCGGGTGGAACACTGTTGGAGAATGGATGCATAATAATGTATGGAAGGGATGGTACTAGTGGAAAGTGGATGGAAGATGAATGGGCAATTGTGGATGATTGATGGCAACAAAAAAACAAAGTACACTACAGGAGGGGGCTCAAGTAACAGGAAAGGCAAGGACGTGCAGGGACTGGAAGTGCAGGAGCGGGCCTGACGGGCTGGCCCCCGCCCTCCTTCCACTTCTTTTTCGACTTGGAAGCACCCTGCGGGCAACTTTCCGGTAGATGACGAGTAGCGACTGAAGGGCAGTGAAACAGAGGACAGACTTCAAATGCAGGAAAATGAAGTGACAGGTCGGGAAACCTCCAACGGAAGCAACTGCGGCCTTTTCGGCTCTGACACCATGCGCACTCCCTGGCTGGCGCGACCATCGCCTTTTCTCCACGGCTGAAGCGGTATATGACTGAGAAGCGCCCTGTGGGCAACTTGCCGCCTCCTCCCGTTCGAGCGCGTTTGCAGTCGCGACTCCTGCTTCTTCTCCATGGTTGCAGAGGCACATGACTGAGAAGCGCCCTGGGGGCAACTTCCGCCCTGTTTCCGTTCTAGCGCGTGCATGCTGCTTCAACCTGCGCATGTGGGTTTAGCGTGTTGGCGCGCTTCTGTGGTTTTAGCTGTCGAGCAGTTTGCACAAGGCTTCGCGCTGGGGTGCTTACAGGGGGGAGGAATGCGACTACACGGCGCTCAAGAAAGTGCAGGGAGCTCAAACGCACAGGAAGCAAAAGGAAATGCCAAAGTTGCAAAAAAAACGCGCAAAGGAAGTGATGTTCAAATCTCGGCATCTCATCCGAATCAAAGGACAGGGAAGTGACAGAACAGGCAGGGCAGGGTGCCCGGTGGCCGGCTGTGTCGCGTCAGCGTGTAAATATATATGCCCTGCCTCCGGGATGTAGTTCAGCAGGAAACACACCAGGAAAAGAATGTGCCACCTGAGATTAAGCTGCCCTTCAGCACTCTGGGGGATGGCATCATCCAGGCTCGGGCCAGCCCACTGTCGAAACTGGGTTTCAACATGGACTAAACAACCTCATTTGGGTACCCATTTACTGGGGGCATGGCTTGCGTGGTTCACCAAACTGCGTTTAACCCAAATATCATAATCCTCTTGTCGGTAAACGGGACCATGCGAATCTAGTGCAGCTTACACGGGACATGTGTGTGTCTTTGCTTAACCAGGGTAATGAACTGGAGTCCTTCTGACCATGCAGGGGTTACAGTATCATTCCACAAGCCAGGCATGGGGTTCGTCTCTGAAGTGGAACTGGGCAATGGGTCTGTTTCCCTTTGGAACATCCGAAACACCTGAAGCTACTCAGCTTGGTCGGCATTTTGAAGGTCTTCCAATGGGCTCTCACCTGCAACGGGGACACGTCCAATAGCTTGCTCTAAGCGCATGGTCTCTAGGTAATCCTTGCTGTGTTGTAGTCCAATGGTGACCACCCTATAAGCAAAACTAAGGACGTGGAGTCCACGCTGTTCGCCAAGTCGCAGAGCGCAGTGCAGGCAAAGCAGCATCAAGCCTCGGAGTCTAAAGAACAATGCCTTCCTGGGCTAGACACTGCGCTTTGGGCCTCTCATGGGTCAGCACCTAGTATTGCCATCATTCACCCAGCATGCTTGTGAGGGCACGCCACATAATGCTTGCAGCTCTGCCACTTAGGCCGAGAGAAATTGTAGCCACGTGTGCTCCAATGAAACACAGCTCTGCCAAGGAACTCGTGAGCGCCGCAAAGAGCAAGCAGACCAGCCTTAGTGCAATGGTGCTATGTGGCAAGCATGCGACAAGACATGACAAGTGTTCATGAGCAACAGCTTGTTGGTTTTGCTTGGCTTGGGGAAACACACATGTTGACATGGTACTCTGCTTTGTCTTTAACAGGAAAACGACAAGTAAATGAATTTCGAACCGCGATAGTCTGGAATGAGTTGCCTCTCGTGGCAGGCAGTGTGTTGTGAACTGCACGGCAGCCTTACAATTCCCCATGAGCCAAGAAATATGCTGCTATGGGGGCGCTATCTTCTGGTCGAGTGCTCCACCCTCGATTTGAGCCTCTGTTCGTTCCACGTTGGCTTTCACATCTATTCCAATATTGTTTTGTTTAAAACCCTGATCCTTTGAAATTGTTCTCCCCGCCCCTTGTTTACGTCATTTTGGTGGTGATATCTTAAGAAACTCTTCTGTGGATGCAAAAGCCGCTCTTATCTCAGGTCAACGCGACTTCTGCAGCAAGTAGGTCTTGAACAGGTTTGACACCTATTTCGCGGACCCTCTTCCGTGCAACGCTCCATGGCATGTCGGCATCGGACACGCTTGGCGCTGTGCTGCTGGCACCACCAATGCTAAAGTTCAGCTCAGGCGAGTAAACCCCTGGGACATGACCTTCTTGATTTTTTTGTGGATTGCCCATCTTGCGAGTCCAAAACCATGGCGGCGACCACAGCTAGAACCACGATCACAGCAACAGCAGCAGGAACAGCAACAGCAACAACTACAAAACAAAGAACAAACAACAACACAAAACTAAGAACACACAAAAAAAACAACAACAGAAAAATCAACAACAAAGAGGAACAGCAAAAAGCAACACCAACAACACCAACAACACCATCACCAACAACATCACCATCACCACCACCACCACCACCACCACCACCACCACCACCACCACCACCACCACCACCAACACCAGCAGCACCAGCAGCACCAGCAGCACCAGCAGCACCAGCACCAGCACCAGCAGCACCAGCAGCACCAGCACCAGCACCAGCACCACCACCACCATCATTATCACCACCACAACCAGCAACAACGACTACACCAACACCAACACCAACACCAACACCACCACCACCAGCACCACCACCAACAACAACAACAGCAGCAGCAGCACCAACAACACCAACACCAACACCAACACCAACACCAACAACCACAACCACAACCACAACCACAATCACAACCACAACCACAACCACAACAACAACCACACCAACACCAACGCCAACGCCAACGCCAACGCCAACGCCAACGCCAACGCCAACGCCAACACCAACACCAACACCAACACCGTTCCGCAAAACAACAAGTGAACTATCCCGTGGTTGATTCTTGTCGCTTGCCAGGAGACAAATCAAAGCTGCATCACTTTTTTCGATCCCAACTCGTGTCTACGTGATTTGGTTGATGCGAGGGGTGGCATCATGGTCACATCAAATAGCCCCCTGCTCCATGGCAGGGACTGATTCTACTTCGTAACTTGACGGTACCAAATCCTTGCAGAATTCCGGCTCGCTCCACTCTTGCTGGATTCGTGGATTCTTGTTCTTCCGCTCCAGGATTTCACACGGAAGAACCAACACCTTGCTGATTTCGGGCTCCAGATTCCTATTCTCGGCGAGATTCCTCATGGAATTGCTCATCCCCTGCTGAGTTCCCACTTTCCTGTTGCGAATCTTGCGGGTTCTTACTCCAACACTTCTGGGTCCCTTTTCCTTTCAATTCATTGCCTGGCCCTACCTTTCGATCCCTTTAAGTTGATATGCAATCAACCAAACAATGCTGGTTCAGGGTGCTGCACCAATATCCTTCCAACGCAATTGCCCTGCTCCCCTTGTGACTTCCCCACAAGCAAACCGACTTGCAAGCCCGGATGCCTCTCGGTTGATGGGAAGGGGCTCCAATGTCCAGAACCTGCAGGCTTGGCATCGGAAAAGAGCCGTGCTGCAATCTGGATGCAATCCGAATCGCAAACACTTCTCTTGCGACATCAGTGACAACAAGGCTCTCCATAACTTGGCAACTATACCTTACGAACGGCCAAGTTGACAGCCTATGTGCACCATGTGCTTCGCCAAAAAGAACGGTAAGAAACCACGTAAGCTGATTCCGACCCCACAAATTGAAAATACCTGAAGCCTGGCATGTTTGGCCGATGTGTACAACTCGCGCGTGGCTGCTGCAATGGTTTGATTTGGCAGGCCGTTGGATGCGCGCTCAAACCAATGTTGAACCTTTCGCCGTGGATCCCAGTTGCACCTATAGTAGGTAAGCATTCATTCTCATGTTGTTGAAGGGTGGTTCCCTTGGTTGCCTGCATCAACAAGTGGATCCGCTTTGATTCTGTTCTGCTCGATCCAAACAAGTACTTGTGCGAATCATGGTGTCCAATCTCGAGACGCATCAGGCAAGAAAGGTACGCTCTCCGTGGAACTAGTCCAAATACCCTTCATTTGCCGTCAGAACGCTGCAACTGGACATTCTTAGGTGGGGGTGGAGAAATCACCAAAGAATCGGGCAGCTTGAAGGCTACTCAACCCCCCAGACCAGGCTACTAGTTACACTCTGACATGCGGAAAGGTCCAAAGCCATGAGCCGAAATCTTCTATCGCTGCTGTGTAATCACGGCCACACTCGTAGACTCAAGGCACAACTGACACTAGATTCCCTTTCCCATGCTCCAACGAAACAGCAGCCGACTTCGATGCTGTCAAGGTACAGCAGGTACAAGGTGAATAAGAGGATCTCGAAGCCAAGGCCTGCCACCCCCCGCTTCGGGCAGAGCAAAGGAACGCGTCCAATGAACTGGGATGCTGAAAACAGGGGGTCCCACTCATTTGAGTCGCTTGGTTCTTTGACAATTGGTCACCAATAGCAGAACAAGATGACATGATTCTCGTTCTGTGACACAACACACGAACATGGCTCTGGCAGTCATAATGCAATTGCAGGCTGGCACGGGTAACTTAATGAGGAATATCTAAGTGAACAACAATCATCCCACATTTAAGCAGTAGACCATCAGAAAGAAACTTAAATCACAAAGGAGGTGAGGTTCATCTGTTTTTTAGCATTTGCCATCACACCATCACGTTGACAGCAGACATGACAATCCTCTGCCTAAGGATGAGCCTGCATCTGCCGGCAAGACATCACTACTCACGAGAGTGCAACGATCAAAATCCCTTCCCTGCATACAACTGGCCTCAAATACCGAAACAGTGCCAAAATGTGTTCAGCTCGCCAACTCAGAATCTGTTGATGATTTCGAATGGATCATCAATGCAAGGAGTCTCTGGTTGACATGTGCATGTGTTGGTGTGCTTGTGTGTGTGTTGCATGCATGCAGGTTGTGGCAACACTTCGAGAAACACTGCGTGTGTGCGCACATCGGAAAGGTTGATTCATGACTTCTACGCTTGTCCGCTCAGAGTCGGGCTCCGGAGGAACCCCCTGGCGCCCCCTTTGCCTTCCACCATGGTCAACAGAGAAGATGCCAGCTCTGGCAGCTGCTCGTTCAGCATGTTTTGCGCCTGGCTCGGGTGACCCTTCCGTCACCTTTAGCACAAAAGGGCACCCAAGTGACCCACATATCCCGACTTTTGCCCGCAGCTTTCAAGAAGCGACCGCTTCTACCAGACCCGCTTGCGCCGAGAGGAGCAAGGGCGATGTGAAAACAAAACTGGGGCAACATCATGCAGCGAAGTAAACGCTGAATCACCTGCCACGCGACTTTCGTGCCTTCCAATATAACGAATGGTACTTCAGAGTTGCTGTGCAAGCGTGCCAACAACGTCCGAAACGAGTTGAGGCCACCCTTTGGGAGCTGCTCATGTGAAACTAGGGCGAGTACAGGCAATCCAACGGGGCGTGTCACTTCGTGGGGAAAGTCCGGCAGCTTCCTTCGAAGCACATGCTTGTCAAGCGGCCATCATGAGTACTGTTGGGGTTCTGTCGTTCTATAGCAGCATCTGTCGCACAATCACATTGTGTACTTCAGTCGATACCATATGCATTACATGAACATGTAGCATACACATATTCACGTATATGCACTGATTCGTGCTAAGAAGACAATACCACCAATACATACGCTAAAGACAGCCCCATATTGTTTTGTGAGGCAATGCTCTGGCAGACGGCACCTTGTGGTCGAGATCCTTCGACATCTCTGGTGGCAGGACCTCCTGTCATATGAGCCACGGTCAAGACTCCTTAGTTGGGTCATGCTTCATAGGAACCACCACAACTGTCATCTGAATCAGGCACCAACCCCCATGTAAGGCTGCAGTTTGTCCATGGCGCATACTCACTCATTCTGAGCTGTTCAAAACAGGAAGATTACTAATTACAATCCTTATTAGGACAACACAAGGGAAAGGACCATATGGAATCAGGATGGAGCCTTGCGTTGGAAGCCATCTTTGTGGGAGGGGATTGTTGGTAGCGCTAGGGCATATCATGGGCCTACACAGCTTGCCCGCAACCACACCATTGGCCATCACGTGGCTCTGACGAAATGAGCAAAGGACGAAAAGCGCCAGATCCTTCCCTGCAAGCGGAGCACTTGGGGTCTTCGAAAACCAAAACGAGACTCCGAAGTGCAGCATCATGCTTGTTTCGGTTTCACCTTGATGACAGCTGGCCCAGTGTCGCATCACTATGGCGCAGGCAGCAATTCGGATAGGCCAACAAGCAATCGGGCAAACATCACATATTCTGCGACTGCACAAGCGGCCCACGCGGGGGTCGCAAGCCTGTTGCAGAGTGTTAAGTCGATATTATATAACATCAAGATCCGAGGAGTGACGCGAACTTGATCTGGAAAAATAAGCCCTCCACGGAAATTACGTGACCTCTTGAGTGCGACGTTGGGCAAACACAGCTAGAAGAGTTGAATCTAAAGTAGGTGGGTTTTGGAGCTGGCTTGGATGCTGTGAAAGCTCGTGTTTAAGAGCTAGTTGTAGTTGGTGTCTTTCAAAGCTGCTTTTCTGCTCAGAAATTGGCGGCCTTGCCCGGGAGGGAACGTTGGTTACTGCGTGTAGCGGCATAAGCGTTGCCTTTGCCCCCGGTGAGCGCAGGCTTGAATCTTGGGCTTCGAATGTTTGGGGGACTTTGCGGCAGTCGTTTAGAGAAGTTGGCCCCTCACCTGCAACATCCCTGCAACTGGCCTTTCGAAAGCGGCGTGGCTGATTCGATGGAGGTGTGAGCCAGTGGGCTTAAAGTACAAACAGCACTAGCCCTGTCTACTTTGTTGGGCCACCAGTTCAATGATCAATGATCTTATGCAGCAACTTCAAACACTAAGACGCCAACTGTCAAGGGCTCACCATCCAAACCACATCCTGGCAAATCTTGCAGATCCTGCGCATAGCCGTTGGCCCACACTATGAACTCCTGGCCACCGTGGACATAGGATCCAACCTCAGCTGTCAATCCAATTTCAATCGAAGGCCTCACAGGGTCTCTACATGTCACTATCCCCATAGTATGGTTGGCTGCAAGCATACGAATATGCACAAGCGACTTTTAACACCCCTCAACTACACACAGTTTGTAGCAAGGCAAACTAAGGCTCAAGATTAGCTCTTGTGCAATTGTGCAGACATTCATGTACCACACCTATGCGCTTTGATTAATATGTGCGTCTCACTTCCTAACATCGACCGCACCGGCAATATGAAGCCTTCAACCTCCAGATATCGTTGCTTGGTGGAACCACCGACTCAACTGTCTCATATTGCTTACTTAAGTAGTCGTCTAAGCTTGCGTTTACCCCCCTGACAAGATTCCAACATCAACAAGCTGTCACTATAGAGCAAACATGACTCACTCTTCGCGACCCAAAACCTCGTAACCATCCATGTAGAAGGTTCGTTCTGATGCTAAAGAGATGGCTTTAAGTCATCATCACCCTGTCTGGTATACTCACGACATACTTGCAAACAGCCTCAATGTCGCCTGCCTTGCACTTTGCACTGGCAGCGTTGGGCCTGGGGTGTCTCTCCAAAGTGCCGAAACTCAATCCGCACTGGCTCAACCGCTGAACCAACAAAATTGTTCCTTATGCGTGGCTGCTCAACACCTCCACTGGTTCACCCGAAGGACCTCTCTACTTGACCTCCACAGCTGCCAAAGGCCCAGGCGTTGTTGCTCAACGTGTTGGCGCCCACGGAAATGAGCCAAACGAAGAGCGCCAAGAAAAGCCTCGCAGCTTTGGGCTGTTGCAAGCATTGCTGGCAACTACTACCACAAGTGGAGGATGGCAAGTGGAGTCACTTCACTTTGGTCAAGCAGGAGCAACATGTAGCATGCATCATGGACTAATGTGCATCGTGAGATCACAAGTGATATGTATCCTGATAAACAACAGGAAGACAAGAACGCAGGGGTGCCTTCCTCCAATGCTTTTGCTCCCATCATTTAACTCAGTTGGAGGCACTGAAGGCCCTGGCAAGCGTTGCCCATGCCTGGGTTTTCCTCTTGCCATGCTCTTGATGACAAGCTTGGCATGCCTCGAAAAAGGACTCCCATAACTTAAGGGGACGCTGAACTACACGCGCGCACCCTATCAAATGGATTCCTGCCGGATGCCACACGCAGCCCGAGGTTGCCGAATCCTTGCCGGCTCACTTCGGAAGGACCTGGGCGCCCTGCGCAACGAAGGCCATGGCCACCATGATGGCCACCCAGTAGGAGACGGCGTGCGTGCTGTCAACCTGTGCTAAGGTCTCAGAGTCTCAGTGATGAAGCCCCTGAGGTGTGAATGCTGCTTCGAAATTTGAAACATGCGGTAGCTGACAGTCTCTCCTTGAATGATGCCCATGCGATTCACACTGCCCTTGCGAACACTCGCTTGAAGCCCTTTACGTGCGTTGTCTGTTGCCCGGATATGTCTCAGCTCTAGCTTATTCTTGTCACATTTCCGGCCCCACCCCCCAGCTCCGCAAACAGCAAGTTAATGGTCTGGCCTGCTTACTGCCCCCCACAAAAAAAACTTTAGCTACAGTGTGCGCTCGCTCAAGTTCGAGCTTGTATTCGCCGGAAAGATGAAGATTCATAGGTCAGCAACTTTCTGGCAATATGCAGGACTTCCAGGAACAGCTTATCAAGCAAGGCACACACACACACACAAACTCGCAGAGTGCCTGATCAAGCAAGACTGCTCCGGATCATACCGCCGCATTGCAGGAAACTCCATATACACGCGCCAACGCACATCTAACTCAACATTTCCCCGGTGGAAAGGGGAAACATGGAATTCCAACCTCTGGCCCCAACGACACAGGCAAAATTCAGCAGACTTCCGCCTCCAGGGAGCCAGTCCTCAGACAAAGCACCCGGCGAAATGCCGAGGGCTCTGGAATACTCTGCCCCCTATGGAACCCTTTTAGACTAACGACCCCTTCCCCGTATCAAGAGGGAAGAGAGGGGCAGGGGAAGGGACAAATTACATACATTCCTTAGACCGGCGACTTGTTGCCTTCTGCCATCTTCATTTGATCAACTGGGTTCCTAAGTAGCTTATTCTTAGCTAAACTGGCAAGTTCACTGGTCGATTAATTGAAACGAGAAGGTACGAGTAACAGATGAACGGGGCGAATCTACTCGTTGTATTTATAGGCATGCGTGCACGTCTTTTCCGGGAAGGGTGTTCGCCCGAAGAATTCTGCCTCGGTCAGATATGAGTCAAGTCTGGTCTCTGGGTGCCTTCCCTGAGTTGCATCTTTAAGACCCAAAGATCCAAGTTCTGTGTACATTGAGGGCCGGCCACGATTTCTTGCTTCAACATAGTAGAATGCCTGATAAGCTTCCGGCTTGACCGCAAGCAACTACCCCTATTTATTCGCCCCAAGGGAGCGGTTTGATCATGGCACACGTAGACAAGGAGGGACACACCTGCAAGCTGCGCGCAAAGCCTACATAGCCTGTAGGTTGAAAATGGATCCCCGGAAGGCGTCGCAACTGCAATGCAGGATGTCCCAAGCTGACCAGGAATCTGGTGCGCCACCCCAACTTGTTGGTGGTTTGCCGAGTGCACCTGGTGTCCCCGCTGTACTGGTCTGCTGCAACCTGCGCTTTGCTTCGACTCCCGTTTCAGCGAAACATCTGAATGGGACCCGGTCGGTGAGATTCTTCCGAGCCACTCCTCCAGGGCTCCGTGACTGCAGAATCTCTAAGAAGTTGAGTGTTGTTCCAGGCTTTGATTCCCACAAAGGAACTGGTTTGGGAAATCGGGGGTGGTTGGGCCGATCCAAACCAACTCCTCGTCCTCTCTTTGGCCAAGGCACAGATTCGGCATCTGCGGCAAGGGAGGCACCAGCGCCGGGTAGTGCTCAGCATGATCGAGGAAGAGCTCCACCATCAGCTCATCTGAGCCTATCCGGGGGAAATTTGATTCGGCCCCCAAACAAGACATGGGCTGTCGTGAAGGAAACCGTTTGCACCTGTTTGCTTTTATATACGCTGCCATCCTCATTTGCATCCAAACTTGAAGGCGATAGTACTAGGTTTAACTTCCCGGAAACCGTCATTCGACTGTGAAGATCACCCTGAAGCTTAAATTATTGATGTTTAACAGGCAGGTGGTTCTAGCCGCCAGCCAGACAACTACCTCTCTCAGCTGAAGTAGAGCTCTTTTGATGCTTCGGGCCATGAGTGTTCTTTATGTGCTGAAGCTGGCCCATTTGATGTGCATCAGTGGGATGTCTGGAAACCCCTACTTGCAGTGTGCTCTTAGGAATCCAGTAAGCAGTTTTTGATCTTTCCACTGCTTCCCATTTCTTGCAAGGTTCTGCTGTCCTGTCGGAAATGGTTGGCGCATCCGTCTTGTCAGTCCCATGTCAGTCCCTTCTAAAACAAAAAACGATTCCAGCAAACAAAGCATGATACTTTGGCTTGTTGAATCGGTTGGCCGAGGGGGACAAGTCAGCTGACTGGTCAGTTGTTTGGTTGTTTGGTAAGCTGGTAGATTGGTTGTTTATCTTGTGGTTTCTTCGCCAGCTGGCCAGGTTTCGGTTCCTCCCCTTTTGTGCCTCCCCTTCATCCAGTTGGCAGTGGCTTCCTCCCCTTTTGTGGCTTCAACCCTTTCAACCCTTCCCTTTGGCTGGTGAATGCGAGGGCAGGTTGAAGCACTCCTTCCAGGCTTCCATGGCAAAGCACAGTCCTTCCAAAACTCAGACTCAACGACAAACGGGTGTTGAAGACAACGTGTGTTCCTGTTGAATTTCTTGCGGGCTTTCCGTTGGCTTCCTTCCCTAAAGTCCGGCAACAGAAGTCCTCCGGTCTGAATCATTCCCAGACCCGTTTCCCACTGCCCTCGGCCTGCTTCATCTGCATCGCTTCGGCGGATGTAGTACTCCCAACCTTGGCATTCACCACTCACTCACTCGTTGCTGGGCAGAAAGGTGTAAGCTGTTCAAATCGTGCAGAAGATTACACCAGCCTTCAAAAGTCTGTGAGAGCAGCAGCCAAATTGCAAAGCAGGCTATGTGAGGCAGAAAGTCATCGCCATCAAGTGGAGGATGTGCAAGCAGCAACATTTGCCATCCCAAGGGTGAAGACAGCATCTTTTGCTTGCTCAGCTTGAGCAGGGGAAGCCACCAAAAGCAATGATGCTGGCAACAACTGACTGGACCTACAAACAAACCAAGCAACCGAGCAACCGAGCAACCAACCAGCTAACCAACCAAACAAGCAAGCAGGCAGGCAAGCAAGCAAACCAGAAAGCCCACAGCCAACATCAAAGCAACAAAATGCCAACACAATAGAGTAACCAACCGAGAAAGCACACAAACAATCCAAGAGCCAAACAAGACCCAACAACCAGTCAAGCCCACGCAGAACAAACAAAACCCTCAATGGCCCACCAACCTCTGGGGACTCACTAGACCGCCTGAGGCCAGCACTATTAACTAATCGATTCACCTCTCGGTCCGGAATGGTCACCTGGCAGCGCACATTTGGGAATCTGGCACCGCGATAGGCTAAGTGCACAATGACATGTAATATAGCTGCACGTATCTATATGTACATAACTACGCGTATTCAAAGCGCTACCCAATGTTGACACCGTTTGAGGACATCCCACACCGCAACCCAACACACGAGAATGTTTGGATCCTGCATGTTTGAATTTAATCGCATGTCCCCTCTCACCATGGATGTTTACATGCGTTCGGACAATCTCAACCATGGTTGTACACTTGTCAACGAGATCTTCCAAGCCACACTGGCAAAACTAAGCAGCTATCACACACCCAATAATCTCCACTAAGGGCCTTGAAAAGCTGACGCATCGCAGTGATTGAAAGGCGTGTGACAAATAGGTCCCATCAAGCCAAACAGAGCCTGAGTCTAGTAAAATCATGAAGCGCCCACCCCCGTGGTTCTCCGAGTTGTTCATGGACAATTGTATGGCTCGTTTCCGGCATAGTTTCCGGCTAGAACTTCCGTACCTCTGCCGCCTGTTGAATGAACAGAAGCAAACAACACACGAGCCAACATTCAAAAACATGCTCCGTATAAGAGGTCGAGACGCTTGCATGAAGCATCCTAACACGGGCCAGGGATCAAATTGCTTGATTCACTCGCGGGAAAGTATCAACTTGGACTGCTCGAAATGGCCCACCCTTTTGCCCCTTCCGTCAAATTCCCGAATCGACCTCGGCCTAGATCAAGCTAAAGGGTATGCCGTCAAGCCATTCTGACATGGCCTTGGGCCAGAAATGGGGTCCGAAGTTTAGCGACCCCCCTGTTGGACTGCTGTAAACTTTAACCGAGAAACCAACAGGAAACCAGCCGTTTTCATCCATTTTGGGATCCCGCTCCCCGTTCCCAAGTATCGGACGCAAAAGACACGCATCGACATTCAAATCCTTTCAGGTCTTAAAAGCAGAGCCGACACCGCAAACTAAAATTCGCAAATTGGAAATGAGGGATCCCTCACAAAATGACCTTGATCGTGAGCCCTGAGCTCATGTTACCCGATGAGCTCGCTGTAGTATTTTGCCCAACACAATCGCAGTACTGCCTCGTGCCCGCCATCTGGACGTAGGTCCTGACGTCCATGCTTTCTTGCTTGTCTTAAGATCGATTTGGGTCTTCCACATGGGGCTCCAAAACACGGCGAGTGCCCTTGTAACTCCGTTTAAACACCCTCCCAAAGGCGACCCTTGACTTTTGGTCACACCCATTGAGGGCGTTAAAGCCAGTTAACATTGTGCTCACACTCCCTGGACTCCTGCCCCAATGTTCTTCCTTCCGTGCCTTCAGCAGGGCTCCCGCGCAAGGTTCAACAAATTGCTTCTTACTCAGCCTCGGACCCGAACTCAGCCCCCCAAAACTACCTCCGGCATCGAACCGGTCCTTCACGCGGACCTTGCGGCGACAGCAGGTACGAAACCAGAGGCACCTGGCTGCAGGTGACAAGTCTTTCTCTCTAGTCGAACTATCCCACCGGTCTACTTTGTGGAAACGCCCGCCAATTGTGCAAGCTCCTCTCTGGTCAACAACCTCTTCTGTTACATGCCGTGTTCCTTCGAATGATGGCTGATGGAACATGAAGAGCAAATTAGTATCGTGCAGGGTCCTCCTCTTTGCATGAACTCAAGACCCGAGATAACGATGGCAAACATATACCAGGCCAGGACAGCATGACTGGTTCCCCAGTAGGACGATGGGATGATTGCTCAAGCATTGAAACATTGGCTCAACCAAAAACATAAACTCCGGCGTTGCGCATCACGCCATGTATGCCGCTTCAGCTGCTGCTCTTGCTGCTGTTGTTTATGCTGTTGCTGTCTCTGCTGCTGTTGCTCTTGCAGTCGCTGTTGCTGCTGTTGCTGCTGCCGTTGCTATTGCTTTGCTGTTGCTGTTGCAGCTGCTGCTGTTGTTGCTGTTGTTGTTGTTGTTGTTGTTGTTGTTGTTGCTGCTGTTGTTGTGGTTGTTGCTTGTTGGTTGTTGGTTGTTGGTTGTTGGTTGTGGGCTGTTGGTCGATGGTTGTTGGTTGTTATTTGTGGGTTGTTGGTAATTGGTAGTTGGTTGTTGTTTGCTGTTTGTTGCTTGTTGTCTGTTGTTGTTGTTGCTGCTGTTGCGGTTGGTGTTGTTGATGTTGGTGTTGCTGTTGTTGTTGTTGTTTCTGCTACTGCTGCTGCTGCTGCGGCTGCTGCTGCTGCTGCTGCTGCTGCTGCTGCTGCTGCTGCTGTTGTTGTTGCTACTGCTGTTGCTGTTGTTGTTGCTATTGCGGTTGCTAGC